AAGAACCAGACTCGGTGCCTCCACACTAAGTACTAAGTGAACTTCATGGCAAGTACATGTGTAGCCTTGATGTTACTATATATTTATCTGTTCTGTCTGGTAATCCAGCGCCCAGATTGAGGCTGCAGTTTTAGGCCTAGAATTTTTTCCTCAGCCATTACTACACTGCTAGCTACATGAAATTAACTTTGAGAACTGAGAAAGTAAGCAATAAAAAAAAACCAGGTCACCAAGGAAGCACCGAGGGGTTTCAGAGGGTGCCTAGGAGACACAGCTCAGCATTTCTTAGCTCTGTTTATTGGGTTTGCAATTAAAACTAGTTGCTACAAGAAGAGGAAAGGGGTAGGGAAGAGAAGAGCTGAGACTTGATGAAGCCAAGAGTAGACTGTGAGTGTTTAAGATCGAACAGAGTTCTATTACAGCTGGTTGCTTGCCGACCCTCCAGCTCTGGACCTGAGTGAGCCCACGTGACCAGGAAAACGTCCTGCCACCCTGCCCTAGGGAAGTCATTCTCACTGCCCCCCCCCCCCCCTGCGACCAGCACTGATACCAATGGGAAATTAGAAAGCAAGGTAAGAAACACTTCGGTTTGATCTACAGGGGCTGGAGAGATAGCTCACTGGTTAAGAGCATGTACTGTTCTGGCAAGAGGACTCCAAGCTGCCATGTTGGATGGGTCACAACTGCCTGGAACTCCAGCTCCAGGGGATTTGATGCCCTCTGATGAACTCCACAGGCACCTGCTCGTGTGTGTACATACATATAATTCTAAAATATCTTTTTTGGGGGGGAGGGGGTTCGAGACAGGGTTTCTCTGTGGTTTTGGATCCTGTCCTGGAACTAGCTCTTGTAGACCAGGCTTGTCTCTAACTCACAGAGATCCACCTGCCTCTGCCTCCTGAGTGCTGGGATTAAAGGTGTGCGCCACCACCGCCCGGCTTAAAATATTTTTTAAAAGGGCCAAACTACAGTGTAATTAATGGAAACTGGCCTGGACCTGATGTGGGGAAACCTCACTCACCTGTGGGAAGAGACCTTTGCCCTTACAGCAGTGAGAAACGGAACAGGGAAAAGATAGGGTTAAGTCATGTGTCACAGAAGAAAGTTCTTGAAGGGAGCACTTTGCTTCTATCCATGTGTTGTGTAAGCATCGAAAGTGCCTGGGCCTGGAGTGAGGGGGTTTCATTTCTTGAACCTTTAGCATCTTTAAATGGCGTACAATTTACTAATAAACAGAACCATCCTTTGGTAGCTAAGCTGCTAGTCCCAGTAGGAAAACCGTTCTGTACTTTGCCCTCAGTTCACCTGGTGGTAGTCAGTGATGATCGGTAATAACATCGGATGCTAAGTATTTCAACAAATAAGTCTGAGGCACGGTAGCCACATTAATATTCTCAGAGCTGGGATAGTGAAGAGCTCGGAAGGCCTACGTCTGAACCCGGCAAACCCATGTAACCAACCAGCCTAGCCTACTGAGAAAGTTCCAGGCCAGTGAGAGGCCCTGATCAAGAAAGCGGATGCCACCGGAGGAACACCCGCGATAGTGTTGTCAGTTGACAGAATCTAGAGTCAATGGTGAAGGATTGTCTTGATTACATACATTATTTGATTTGGGATGAATCATCTTGACTGGGTGAGGCCACCCCCTTGGCACGGGATCCTGGTCTGTGTAAAGGGGAGAGGAAGTGAACCCAGCGGTGGTGCGCATTCCCAGCTGTTTTCTGATTGTGGTTGTGTGAGCAGCCGCTTCAAGCTCTCGTCGCCTTGACTTCCCCACCATGATGGACTGTATGTACCTTTGAGTTGTCAGCTGGAATAAATCATTTCTCCCCTTGAGTTGCTTTTGTCTGAGCACTCATCAGAACAAAAGGAGAAGACAGAAATCGTCCTCTGGCCCGCCACACATTCGCCCTTCTCGCTTGTAATATATTTGGTGTCTGAACACTCACAGTTGGGATTTCTAAAATTGTGTGCATAATACTGAATCGAGTTGAGATACCAGAATTGGAACTGAGAAATTAAATTGTACTGGGAGCTCGTGGTGGATGTCTTCCCTGCAGAAGAGCAGAAGAGCCCACAGTGTGTGTTAACTAATTTTACCTAGCAGCAAAACCGAACCTGCTAGATGACAGCCGAGTCTGCGGCATTTCCTGCTTACTCTCCCGGATTTGTTTGCTTTGTCTCGGTTATCTTTCAGCTGCTATGAAATAACCCAGCATCACATCACAACTCGACTTATGTTAAGCAAAATGAGTGCTTAGAAAGACTAAATATACCACACACGTGTTGCTCAGAGATTTCCCCAACACAACAACCAAGTCTCTAAAGTCAGTGAATACTTTATCAGGCCCGGCTAAAAGAAAATCATGGAATCAAGTATCACGTGCTTGAACAGCCAGAGTCTAGTTCATTGCGATGTGCTCCCGGAGGTTCATTTTGTATGCTGATTTGCCTGGGCTGCAGTGCCCAGTTGTTTGAACAGATGTTGTGAAAGCATCTGTAGACGTGATTACAGTGAGCAGTCAGCAGATTGAACACATCACCGGCTTCATGTGGACAGACCACTGTCAAGTCCAAGACCCCCAGAACAATTCTGTCTCGAGCATTCAGCGTAGAGCCAGCCTGTGTCCCGCTTCCTGGAAACCTTGTAGAGTTTGGACTCAAAATTGCAACATCACCTCCTACCTGAATGTCACCCAGCCAGCTCTGCAGATGTCAGAACTCTCAACCGTGTAAGCCAAGTCTAAATCTCTCTCTCTCTCTCTCTCTCTCTCTCTCCCATGGTTTGTTTCTGTGGTTGCCCCAATATAGGGATACTCCTTAATTGCGAGCATCCCTTTTCTAAATGTCCGCTTCATTTTTGTAATTACGCGCTGGCTATGTTTATGTCAACTTGACACAAACTGCAGTCAGTTGAGGGAACCGCAGCTGAGAAAATGCCTTAAGGCGCGGCTGTGGGCCAGCCTGTAGAGCATTTTCTTAATTAGTGATCAACAGGAGCGAACTCAGCCCTTTGTGGGCGGTGGTGCTACCCCTGGGCTGGTGGTCCTGGGTTCTATAAGAAAGCAGGCTGAACAAGCCATAGGGAGAAAGGAAGCAGCTCTCCTCCATGGCCTCCACTTCAGCTCCTGCCTCCAGGTTCCTGCCCTGTGTGAGTTCCTGTCCTGACTTCCTTTGGTGGTGAGCAGTAGTATGGAAGTGTAAGCCAAAGAAACCCCAAATTTTGGTCATAGTGTTTGATTACAGTAGAACCCCTAACCAAGACAGATAACAGATTTCTTCTTGACTTAGTTCAATACTTGATCTGCTAGGACCACCTGCGCTTCCGTTTCTGCTCTGAAGTACGTCTCAGCCCTGAGATGCTACATTTGTCAATACGCCTTCTGTTTTTCAGCAAAAGCAATCGTTCTCATTTCTTGTCTGAAAGAAGTAAGTCGTGCAGTGTCCAGGAGTAAAGATGGAATTGTCCTTACCTCAGTGACAACAGAGTCATCTGACGTTAACGATGAAGAGCATCATCTAGGGACTCGGTTCTGAATCACTACATTGACCCCCAACGTTGATTTTTTTTTAAAGGCATTTAGCAATTATTTATAGATACATTTAGCTTCGTAAGTAACTTGAAACCATTCTCTTTTTTTTAAAGATTTATTTATTTATTATGTATACAAATTCTGCCTCCATGTATGCCCGCACATCAAAGGAGGGCGCCAGATCTCATTACAGATGGTTGTGAGCCACCATGTGGTTGCTGGGAATTGAACTCAGGACCTCTGGAAGAGCAGCCACTGCTCTTAACCTCTGAGCCACCTCTCCAGCCCCCTGAAACCATTCTCTTTGGGGGAAGAAAGCACAAGCAACTTCAAAATTGACCCTAACAGCATTGGAATTGACTACCCCAAGTTCAAGTCTTAGTTCTCGCCCAAGACAATGGTCATTTTCAGTTTATGTGAATATATCTGACTTTATTGTGCGAGTTTATGCTTATATAACCCAAGCCATGCTCGCAGGGCAGGGTATGGAATACACACTAACTGCTTGGCTTAGAGCCTGGCTCCACTATTTACTATCTGACTTTGAGCAAGACACTTAATATCTCGACCTGACTAATTCACAGGACAGATTTTAGGGTCCCAAGAGCCTATTACGCAAAGCAGCCAGCACTGTCTGGCATGTAGCAAGCACTATAAAGTCCTTGCTACGATTATTTCCCCTCCTCTTTTTTTTCTAACATCAGTGGCATCCTACTGGGTGCTATTTTATGTGTAAGCCCATTGACTTCACCAATGGCCTGTAGGTATCACTCCATAGTATCACTCCAGCCTCGTCTCATTCTCCATAAAATGATTTCAGTCGTATCTAGAAGAAATGCATTTATCTGAAAAGCTCACCTCTTTTTCTTTATGATTCAATGAACTAAATCATCTGGGAAAAGAAGGGTTTGGCAAGTTAAATGGTGAGGCTGGGAGATCCGGTAGAGAGAAGTCAGTATGTGGAACTGGAGGGAGTTAGTATGGATATGGTCAAAACACAATCATGTACAAGATTTGCCAATAATTGCCTTTTAAACATTATGGAAACGTCTGTCTGCGAGTCTACATTGAGCACAGGTGAGAAGCTTCTGATGTTATTTGGGGGTGATCTCCTCCCTCTGTGGCCTCTGCTGGTCTTTGAGTCTTGCATATCTGAGGACAGTGGCTCGCTGAGGAGGAAGAACCTCCTGGCAAAGTTCTCTCTTGGTCCACAGCTGCCTCACCATGAAGAAAACCACAAGTGTGTTTAAAAGGCAAGCGTGTGGTGCGGTCAAAGGTTATGTTTATACTATGGATTTGCCCTCTGAGGTTTCCAGTGGAGGCGATTCCTTCCTCCCGCCCACGAAGGATTAGAAAGTGCCGGTTCCTCTGGCTACTGCTGTTGGCATACAAACCTCTACCCACACTGAACAGGAAGTGGTCCAGAAGAGAGAACTCATCGAAGAGCAAGGGAAAGACGCCTAGAGGGAAAGTTAACAGTATGCCCTTTCTGCAGAGGATCCCATTAGGTGGCTAGTACCCCTATCTGTTGGCTCACAGCCGACCGTAACTCCAGCTCCAAGGAATCCAATGCCTCTAGTCAACACGGGCACCTGCACACACATACAGATAAATACAATTAAAACTAATAAAAATAAATCTTAGACAACCAAAAGAAGAATGATGTGGGAAAGGTGTTTGGGTTTTTTTTTTCTATTTTATTTTGTGGGTTTTGTTTGTTTGTTGTTTTCTTTCATTTCAAGTGTTGAGAAGTAGAATGCACCAGAAGGAAAAGGCCCAGGGAAGGAGAGGATTTGCTGGTGGACAGTGTTGCGGCCGGAAAACAGCATGAGTTCCCAGCAACCTTGTGCCTCCTGCCGCTTCTTATAGAGCCCAGTGAGGGATCTGAGCACAAAACTAGCCTAGACAGTGCGGTGGGCTCAGGAAAGGAGGGCCCAGGCTGGTGAGAGTCGGCCCAGCCAGAACCCTTTCTCACGGCAGGCCGAGTGCCCCTCCTTGTCCCTCACTCTTGGAAGAACTCTCAGCCCCCATGTCCAGCTGTGTTTGCTCTACTTTGTTTTTTGCTTCTTCCTCCCGACCCTCACTACAGACCCGCACCACAGACCCGCGCCACCTCTTCTGCTCCCATCTCTGGTCCCAGCAGCTCCCTTCACCAATCCTCCAGGGCCTCCTCTTTCCTTGTCCCGTACATTCCTGGATAATGCTCCTGACTCTAGCCATGGAGGTCCGATGGCTAGCATGTCCTGAGCACCCTCTATTGGATGACCCACAGGCTCCCCCACTCTGTTGCCCCCCTTCCACCTGCTCACATACCAGCAACGTTGTCCTCAGCCACCCATGCCAGAGCCTACTACCTGACCCTGCTAAGTTATCCATCCAAAAAGGCCCCTCTTTCTCCACCTCCCATTCACTCCGTAGAATCTCATCTTAAGTATGGACGTTCTCTTTACAGTTTAGGATCAGGTCATCGGGAGGTCTGTGCTGCCCTTTGGAGGCAGGTGAGCCTAGGAAACAGCTTTGTTCCCTGGAATCCTATGTGGTTTGGGGCTATGCACATTCTCTCCCATGGTGACGTACTTGGTAGCTGTTCCTTCTGCGCGCCCTATGCACACAAACCCGCTCTAAGCAATGTGCCCGGCAACCCTCCCTAGTACAGCCCAGTACACCCAGTCCACATACTGAGCTATCGTGGGCCCATCTCCAAACAATGATATGTCTCCCTGCCCCTGGGAACAATCAGATTTAGATAATGTTTATTCAAATGTAGTCCCAGTGTACCCACGTATGAAGAACAAAAGGACCAATCAGGCCTGAACTCACTTTGGGTTCATATGCAATAAGTCAAAACTGTGTCCTGTAGTAACCTTTTAGGAAGACGCCCCTGTTTATCATCTTATGCCTATGCCTAATTATATATGCATGTGATTGAAACTAGATGCATTATGGGAAAGGACATGCACAATTAAGAAAAATAAATGCATACCAGCTGTGATGGTGTAGACCTTAATCCCAGCACTTGGCAGGCAAAGGCAGGTGGATCTCTGAGTCTGAGGCTGGCCTGGTCTAAGTACAGAGTTTGAGAACAGGCAGGGCTACATAGAGAGACACCTGTCTCAGAAAACAAGAAAGGAAGGAAAGACGGAAGGTGAATATATGACCGTATCTATCAATCAAAGCAGAGAAGATCCAAATGAAAGTCCAGAGTCAGTAAGTACCCCCTCTCCTGTGGACACTATTTTAAAAACAATGTCTGTAGCCTGGGGCCTTGAATACTCATGTGGCCTTGCTGCTTTTGTGAGTCTTTATGAGCCCTTTTGTCAATCCTTTGGATAAGAAGCCAAGAACCTGGAAACATCTGGTCCAGACCCCGACCACCAGTAACACTTCCCAAGCCGAGGGTTGGAATGTTAGTTCAGCCTGACCCTACCTCACGTTCCAGACCCGAGACTGTCCTCTGGGCCCTCAGCCCTCCTCTGCCTAGCTAACTACGATGGTTTTCTCTTCTACAAAGACTTTATTAACAGTGCTCTGGCATGAGAGTGCTCTCTCTGCGGTGTGCACCCCTGGGGCACCATCGCTTACCTTGGCCTGTACCACAACAGGGTAACATCCACACTGGTATAGGTCAGCTGCCCCTCCCTCCTCTGGGACCTTCACCTCCCTGTGGTGCCTTTCAGGACATCAGCTGGATCTTTCCTGGCCTTGTGTGTGCGGTGGTCTGAATGTTTGTGTCCCTCTGGTTAGAGCCCACCAGGCCGTAAAGACTCTGCCCATGCCATTGGGTTAGTGTTCTATAGAAGGACGGGGGCGGGGGTTTTCTACTCTCGCTATAAGGATAAGCAGGCCTATCTGCCCTCTATGAGCAAACCCCTTCACAAGCCACCAACTTGCCAGCACTTGGCTGACAACTTCAAACCTCTCGAACGTAGAAAAATAAATTTCGCCCGCGTATGAATTACTCCATCGCTGACGTCTCGTTGGGGCCACACAGCCATTATCTCTCGCTCCTCAGACTGTACGTGCTCCAGATAAGTAACTGAACAGAGTTAGCTCTGTCCTGAAGCCACACTTGTACTTCAGATTAACCCAGGAGGGCAGCCGCCCCTGACGTTGCCCCTCAGGACAAACAACCTAGGCTCAAACCCCTCTAGCCTATGCCGGAGCAGACCCACCTTTACCCGGCCGTGTCAGAATGCACGGGTGTGGGTGTTTTAGAAATCAGAGGTGAGGCGAACTGCCTGAGGCACCTGGGCATGGTGCCATCCACCGTGCCGCGGGATCATTCTTACCAGATGGTCTTCAGGCTGGTATTTCTTCCCAGTCACACGGCTGAGCTGATGCAATTGTGTTCCAGAGGTTAGAAGAGAAAAGTTGCTGGCATTTGCTGGCACTCTTTTCTGCAAGAGTCCGTGCCTTGTTTCTGTTTATGTGGCAAAGGTTTTCATAACAATCAGCCGTCTCTGGGAGAATGCCAACGGCTTGTCTGACCAGCACAGCGGGAGACGGCACAGTCAGGCAGGGAGCGAGGAGTTCTGAAGGATACCACCGCACTCAGCACTCGGCTGGGACACTCAGACGACAGCCAGCGCCCTGGAAGAAAGAAGAACAGAAATTGGGGCCTGGCGAGAGTTTCCACAGGCATCCCAAGGTCAAATGAACGGGTTTTCTTCCTTCTACCACAGTAAAGAAATATGACAGACGTCCCCAGGGGACCAGGCAGTCAGGTGTGGGACCTTCTCATTGTGTGCAGGATGAAAGCTAAACACGACCAGGACACTCGTATCCCTTGCTCTCACCGAATGCTGCTCATATTTGCTAACTTAGGCAGGTGCCAGAAGGGTCACCATCAGGCAAAGGACTCCAAGCCCTCTCCTAGACCAGATCCCAGAGACCCAGAGTCCTGGGAGAGGCGGGGGTGACCGGAACTGTTCGCAAAGCAGAAAGTGAGGTGCTTCCAAAAGAAAGAAACCAAGAGAGATTTTTATTTTTCTTAATTAAAAAGAAAAAAAAATTTTTTTTTTTTGAGACAAGGTATCAGTTGCCCAGGCTGTCCTTGAACTTGGAATCCTCCTGCCTAGGCCTTTCAAGCAGCTAGGTTCACAGCCCTGCCCCAGCAGGCCAAGCATCAAAAAGCCATTCTCAGATGAACTCTTCTGTCTCTGTCTTCACCCACAGAGCAAGGTTTCTCCTTCACTGGCTGCCACCACACGGTGGTTGCTGCTCAGAACTGCTGAGATTTCAAGGTCAGCATTCCTCCTCGCTGCCTTGTTTCTGACTATTGATTAAATCTCCCGTGCTTCCTCCAGCAATTAAGTTCAGCTTAGGCCTTGAACATGGACCCTGAAGTCCACGCTGAACAAAAACTAAGAAGTGAGAAGAGAGGACATGACTGCTCCTAGGTCCGCTAGAGAAAGTTTATTGTAGATAAAAGGGCCTCAGGCAGAGGCATCCAGGAGAGTCCAGAGTGCACATAACTAGACTAGGCAGTGTGAGGAGAGGGAGAAGGGAGGAGAGAAAACCAGGGGAGCAAAGGGTAGAAGAAACAGGCAGGTAGCCAAAATGGCTGGGTTTTACAGGGAAGGGCAGCCCAGCCACTAGGCTGGAGAAGTTTAGGGTGGGGGGCAGGCCATGCCAGCCATACCCTGTACCAGGTAGGGACTGAGGGAGGCTGGGAGAACCTAGAGGCAGGGTCCGCCTTAATATGTTAAATAGGCACCTCAATTAGCCATTTGCCCCAGGTTTGAGACCTAACACACACAAAGAAATGTTCCCACTGAGGCCTCAGATAAAGTGAGGCCCTGCCTTAGTCTGCTCTCTATTGATGGGATAAAGACCGTGACCAAAGGCAACTTAATGAGAAAAGGATTTATTTGTGCTACTGTAGTGATGAGGAGAGCAGGCCTGCTTTTCATCCCGCCCGGCTACCACACGGCTAGCTTAACACCCGAAATAACAACACACAGATTGTATCCATTTAAACACTGCCTGGCCCATTATCTCCAGTCCCTTATTGGCTAACTCTCACATATAGATCTAACCCATTTCTAATATCTAATTCATTTTTCTTATTGCCACTTGACTGTGGCTTACCGGCATGAGTCTAACCAGCGTCCGTCTTGGGTAGGAGAAGCATGGCATCTGCCTGACTCTGCTTTCCTCCTCCCAGAATTCTGTTCTGTCTTCCCCGCCTACCTATGTTCTGACCTATCAGGCCAAGCAGTTTTCTTTATTAATTAACCAATGAAAGCAACAGATAGATAGAAGACCCTCCTAAATCATGTTACACTTCCACATCCCAGTCTATCATCAAGGAAAGTAAGGGCAGGAACTCAAGCAGCGACCATGGGGGAAGGCTGTTTACCGGCTTGGTCATCAAGACTTTCTTCTACAACTCAGGACCACCTGTGCAGGAGCTCACTCCTGTGGTGAGCTGGGCACGCCCACATCAATAATCGTAAATCAAGAAAATGCCCTACAGACTTACTCACAGGTAACCTGATGGGGGAGAATCTCAATGAGATTCTTCTCCCCAGATGATCCGAGCTTGTGCCAAGTTGACAAAAACCTAACAGGGACAGGCCCTAACCTGTTCAAAACTTGTGCCCTTTGGCTGGGAAGGCGTATAAAAGCCCTAGCAGGCAAGCCCGACAACCTGAGTTCTATCCTGGGAGTCGGTGGTAGGAGAGAACCCAGCCCTGGGAGCTGTTCTCTGACCTCATATGCAAGCCATGCATGAGTAATGCTCTCGCATGGGCACTGCCCCTCCTGGCCACCCCCGCACACCATACTGTCTTCTCAGGCAAAGCCCTGGAGTCTGGGATCTAAATTGGATTTCTAACTAGGCATCCAACAGCCTGTTGAGATAGCCGAGAAATGACTCCCCAGAGTCCCGACAGACACTGTGTGTGCCCTGAGAATCAAGTTCATCCAGGACCGATGACTTTGTTTACTGCATACTTGGCCTATCACGCAGGTACACAAACTGTGTCCATGACAGAGAAAATGCCCCTTCCCTGTAATTAAACATGGCTTCTATTATGAATCTCATTTCCCTTTCAGAGGGATTAAAATGGTCCCAGACACTCCTCCCATCAAGAGGTGAAATTCGTTTCCCACCCTTTGAGCCTGACTTGGCCTGTGATGACGTAACAAAAGGCGCACATGTCTTCTGACCTTAAGAGACAGCAAAGCTTCTACTTCGTGGAGTCTCTCGCGGTGTGAAAGACTTACAGGGAAAGAGAAGCCCATCCCATCTCAGTCACTGAGCATATAACAAGCCCTGTCTGGGCAAGCCACATGAAGGAAGAAGAAAGGAACACTGTTCTTTGGTTTACTAACTCTAGGGGAGATTTACCACGCAACAACCGGGAACAGTACACGTGGCATTTGAAAACATGATGTTAATCCCAGGAAGTGAGTTTGTTTTAAATTAGATCCATGTAAAAGTACCCATTCAAACCTTCTCCCTACACACCCAGGTTAGATCTATAGGCTGCTACATGCATGCACAGGGCATCAAAGATACTCTGTGAGGTGGGAGTGTCATATATCAATCTGTTGATTTCATTGGTTAAGTAATAAACACACTGCTTGGCCTCATAGGTTAAAGCATTGGTGGGAGGAATAAACAGAATAGAATTCTGGGCAGAAGAGGAAGTGAGGTCAGACTCTGCTCTGCTCCCGGAGAGACCCAACAGCTGCTCTCTGGAGCAGAGGCACCAGGATGGACATAGGCTAGACTCTTCCCGGTAAGCGCACCTTGGGGTGCTTACACAGATGACTAGAAATGGGCTAGTCCAGGTGCGAGAATTAGCCTGTAAGGGCTAGAGTTCATGGGCCAAGCAGTTCTTAAATGAATACAGTTTGTGTGTTGTTATTTCGGGCATGAGCTAGCCAAGCGGCCGGGGTGTTGGGGACGCAGCCCCGCCGCTTCCTATTTCAACAACTCTGCTCACCCTTCTGTGAGCACTGGGAAAGAGGAACTCTCACTTAGAGCTTGCTCATGGTTCTCTCCCCAAATTGTGTCCTCAGTCTGGGAGCTTGGACAGTAGTCACCAACCCTGCCCTCGTTCTTTTCCTACTGATGTGACGAGAGTCCCTTTAAAGGAACTTCAGAGAAGAATGGTTCATTGCAGCTCACAGTTCGGGGGTATAGTCCATCCTCTGGAGCTTGAAGCATACATCCCATTGACTGTCAAGAGCGGAAAGCCGAGGGCTGAGAGATGTCTCAGTGTTTTAGAGTACTGGCTGCTCTTCCAGAGAACTTGGGTTCAGTTCCCAGGATTCACGAAGTGGCCCCCAGCCCTCTGTATCTCCAGTTCCAGGGAGTCCCTTTGGCCCTTCTGGTCTCTGCAGGCTGTAGGTACGAAGGTGGTACACAGACAGAAACACAAGCAAAACGCTCATGTACAGAATTTTGATAAGTTAAAAAGAGCAGAGAGCGATGGATGAATGGGTGTGGGCCAGTGCAGGCTCGCTCCATAATTATGCGGTTCTGGATCTCACGCCCAGGGAAATGGTGCACTTAGAGTAGGCTGGTCCTCACGCAGCCATTAATTCTTGCAATAATTCCCCACAGATATTCTCAGAGGCCCTTCTCCCAGGTGATCCTAGATCTCCCGAGTTGTGAATGAACACTACGTCACCTTTTTATTGCTGTACCTACCACAACCAAGGCAACTTTTAAATATTTATTTATTATGTATACAATATTCTGTCTGCAGGCCAGAAGAGGGCACCAGATCCCATTACAGATGGTTGTGAGCCACCATGTGGTTGCTGGGAATTGAACTCAGGACCTTTGGAAGAGCAGGCAATGCTCTTAACCACTGAGCCATCTCTCCAGCCCCCCCCCCCCAGGCAACTTTTAAAAGAAAGTGTTTAATTTGGTTTAGGGTTTCAGAGGGTTTGAGTCCATGATGGTGGAGAAAATCATGGGGGTTTTGTTTGTTTGTTTTTTAATTGCTGTTCTTGAGACGGGTTCTTACGCAGCCCAGTCTGGTTGCATACTCGCATTGTGTGTGACTCTGGCCTTGAAAATTTTTTTTTAATTTTTTATTTTATGTGTATGAGTGTTTTGCATGCGGGTATGTCTGTGCAGCATATGTGTGTCTGGAGCCCATGGAGCCCAGAAGAGGGCAAAGGGTCCCACAGAGCTGGAGTTACAGGCGGTTGTGACGCACCATATGCGTACCAGGAATGGAACCAGGGTCCTCTGAAAGAGTAGTCAGTGCTCTTAACTACTAAGCCATCTCTCTAGCTCTTGGCCTTGAACTCTGGTCTGCCTATTGGCACCTTCCTAGTGCCGGGATCACAGGAGTACTCTCTAATGTCAAGCCCAGTCTCAAACAATTTGTCTTTAAAATTTCTGTTTAACATAAGGTTAAACTTCTTGTAGATCACCTTGATTCCTTTATGGGATAAAGCACACAATTTCAAATAAAAATACAAATGTTGCTATTTTAGGGAGTCCTTGAATTAAGCTATAATCATTCCAGAATGAATCAGCATTATCTTCCACACTGGGAAGATAACTGGGAATTGGAAGTGACAAGACCATGATCATTCTGTTAAGTGCTTGGCTGTTTTCAGGAAAGGATGTCAACTGGGAGAGTGGTAAACACCTACTTCCACACGGGCTGTTCTTGAGACCTTGTTAGCCTTTAGGTTGAGGGGACCCAAGGGAAGCTGGGAAGGACAGGCTCCCCTAAGGATCCACACTTTCCCTCCCCTCTATTATGGAAGAGGCAGCATCTGGCCACCTCAAACTCACACTCCTGCCCCCCAAGCAGGCACCGCCACCCTTGTCTCTCCTCGTCCACGATCGCCAGACTTCTGCACACACTAATTCCTTCTTCTCGGCGCCAGGACGCTCTTAATCTTATTGCAGATCAGATCATTTTGATAACCGCCCCCCTCTAAAAGGAAATGAGTTACCAAGTCTGGTGAGAGTAAAAGACAAACGGAATTAATCCTTCTAGAGAGATGCAACGCCTCATTGGGATCCAAGCACTGTACGACCAGGAAGCCTTTTAAACAATGTGCGCTTAGGGTTCGGTTGGGTTTTGCTGTTATTTTGTTTTTATGAGTTGGTGAATCGTTATTTTGTCAGGCTGGCCTCCAAATTTGGGTTCCTGCCTCAGCCTCCGGGGTACCTAGGTGCCTGAGGCAAAGACCTGTATTCTGAGGTCTGTATTTTGTTTATAGCCATATTAAGTTCACAAGTTAAGATAGTCACCTTTGCAGGGCAAGTTCGGGACCTAGGAAATTAACCTAGTGAGACCTGCAGGCCCCAGGCTTTAGAAGCAATTAGCATTTCCTTTGTTAGTTTACAGTCACGGACCCTCAGTGTTTCCTTATTGGCTAGGGTCGTCTCCAGACCTGAATTCCAGCAGACCTGACACCCTTCCCTCCCCCATGCCTGTTTGCTAGGTAACAGCTCCCGCGGGATAATAAAGTGGCAGCTTGATCAGAAAGCCAGCCTTGCTATCATTTCTCGAGTCTCTTGTCTCCATTCCTCTTCCTCCTCCAAGTTTATCAGGGACTCCCATTCATGTCCCGCTGGCTAGGACACCTGCTTGGTTTTGTTGTCGGTTCTGGTTTTCAAGATGGGATCTCTCTGTGACATCGTAGCCCAGGCTAGCCCTGACCTGGCCCTCAGCCTCCCGGACACTGGGATTATAGGCATGAGCCATGCGTGGCTTTGCTTTGTCTTTAAACAAGTGTGAATTTGAGATTTTCTCCACTTTAATAAGCAAACAAAGGAAAACAGGTGAACACAATCATCCAGGAGAATTTGAGTGTCTCCTCCTGGCTTCCTTGCCCTAAACATTGAATCTCATTCCTTTCCTCTGATTACTGAGCAAATCAGAGTCCTGTAGAAGCCCTTGACACAGCACAGCTGTATTTGTAGATATGGGATCTGGGGGAAATGAGTGAAGGATTGGATGGAGAAAGGCTGGCGAACCTGGGGCCCTCTGTATCTGTCAGGAGCCATTTCCCCCCAATCATTACAGGAACCATCACCCTGGGGAGTCTGCAGAATGCCCCTCACCCAATTAGCAGCTATCTATTAGCAGAACACGCCTCACATTCCAGCTATCCAGGGAACCAGGTGTGGCCACTTGTGACTTCTGGCCTGCCCTTCGGAATGTAACTGAGCTACGTAACTGGGACCACGCGGCCGGCGAGATCCCGTGCCCTGCCCCCCATTCCTTACCATATATAAGCAGCAACCACCCGTCCCTAATAAACAGAGGCTTTGACAAATCTGCTTGGCCTCCTTCTTCTGTCTTAGCTCATTCCCTTCCAGGTAGCGCCCCTCCGAGACCCTGGAGTAACCGATTGCGGGGTGGGTTACAACCCCTAGACTGAGTAGCCCACCCAACGCAATCGACATGTATCTGCCCCTGGACTGCTGAGATTACCGGCGTGCACCAACAAGCCCAGCTTCCCTTTCCCCTTAAATACACTCCAGGATTTCATCACAGTTCTGGTTTGCATGTTCCTAATGTACAAATCTTTGGAGAAATGTCTGTTGAAATCCTTTGTGTATATTAGAGCTGTCTGCTGTTGTGGAATTACAGTTCTCTCTATACTCCGGATATTAACTTCTTATCAGATGTGGGATTTGAAAATGTTTTCTACCTATGGGTTGTTTTTTTTTTTTTCTTTTCATTTTCTTTATGGTGGCCTCTGATACTCTGATGTTTGAATCTGGTGTCCCCACAGGTTGGCATGTCTGAGCAATTCTTCCCCAGATAGTGGCATTATTTTGGAAGATTGTGGATCCTTAGAAGGTAGGCATGCATGCTTTTAATCCCAGCATTCAGGAGGCAGAGGCAGGCAGATTTCTATGAATTTGAGGCCAGCCTGGTATACAGAGTGAGTTCTAAGACAACCAGAGCAACACAGAGAAACCCTATCTCAAAAAAAAAAAAAAAAAAAAAAAAAAAAAAAAAAAAAACCCCCAAAAAAAAAAAAAAAAAAAAAAAAAAAAAAAAAAGAATGTAGGGTTTGGTGGGCAGAATCAGATCACTGGGGAAGGAACTTTGAAGGTTATGTAAGACTTAAAGATAATTCTGAAGCCATTTCTGACAATTTTGAATCCTCTCAGCCTCCGTGCCTTAGTGCTTCCCCTCCTCCCCTGGGAACCAAGGACCTAACAGCTACACGTGCACGTACTCAGTTCCTAAACAATTACACATATACGTATGTTTTGGTTCAGTCCCCTGGGAAACGGGTCAAAATGACCTCTTACCTCATCTGATCTGGCAACAGCTCTCCAGCCAATTATTGATAATAGCCCTTTTAAATAAGCCAATCACAACCACCCTTGCTTCTGTGACCTTCTCTTTTAAAAGTAGCCTGCGCCAGCTATTCGAGGTCTCTCGGCTTCCTGAATGCTGAGGGATCCTGTCATGACAGAATTAATAAATCCTCGTGCTTTTGTGTCGGCTGTGGTGTGTGAGGTGGTCTCTGGGGGCGACTCCTCCTCAGTGTTTGGACGCTAGAGTCCAACAGTTACATCCGGCCCTGACTTTGGACTTCACTCTGCTTACTGGTCCTCTGGGGTGTGAACTGAACAGCCTCCCCTGCACACTCCTGCAGCCTGGAACTGAGCTGTTCTGCCGTGTCTTCCCACCCACGATGAACTGAAACTCTGAACAGGAAGCCAAAGCCATCCTTTCTTCCACTAGATTGCTTGCTTCAGGTATTAGATACAGTACAGTAGCCAACACATGAGTCACAGTTTGGGTGGAGTCCAACTTACCTATTCCCCTTTCTGTTGCCTTTGCTTTTGTTAAGATACAATAGTATCTTAACAATACAATTAATTGTTAAGATACAATAGTATCTTAACAATACAATTAACCAGGTGGTGGTGGTGGTGGTACACGCCTTTAATCTCAGCACTCAGAAGGCAGAGGCCGAGGGATCTCTGTGAGCTTGAGGTCAGCCTGGTCTACAAGAGCTAGTTCCAGGACAGGCACCAAAGCTACAGAGAAATTCTGTCTCAAAAAAAAAAAAAAAGGTGCTATTGTCAAACCTAAAGTCATACAGATTTTCCTTATGCTTCATACCAAGAGGTTTATTATAGTGTTGGTTCTTAGGTCTTCAGTCCATTTGGTGTACATGATGTCAGATAATGCCAGGTGGCCAACCTCATTTTTTTTTTTTTTTTTGTTTTTTCAAGACAGGTATCTTTGGCTATCCTGGAACTCACTCACTCGTGGACCAGGCTGGCCTCGAACTTGAACTCACAGAGCTCCACCTGCCTCTGCCTCCCAAATGTTGGGATTAAAGGCTTGCACCATCACATCTGGCTCAGCCTCATTCTTTTGCAGGTAGATCAGCTCTCCCAGTGTCTTTCGTTGACCTGGTAGTTGTTTCCCTATTGGATAGTCTTGGTACTGTTAGAATTCATCAGACGTGTGGATGTTTACTTCTGGTTGTCTGTGCCTATCTGTATGTATGTCGGGCCCACCATTTCAGTTACTGTACCTTTAAAAGTTTTAGACTTAAGGATGAGAGTCAACTTTGCTCATTTTCCATATTGTTTTGGTTGCTTTTATGCAGCTAGACTTGAGAGTGTGGTGAACACACACTAAAGGGGGAAGCTCCAAAGTCATGCTCTCTTGTAGCTCTCCAACTTGAACTTTGTATTTATTTACCTTGTGTTTTATCTGTATGTATGGTTGTGAGTTGCCATGTCTGTGCTAGGAATCGAACCCAGGTCCTCTGGCAGAGCAGCCAGTGATCATAACCACTGAGCCGTCTCTCCGGCCCTGAGCTCTACCTTTTGAAGGAGCCAATGACTATTCTCAGAGTGGGTCACACTGTACTGGACAAGTACGGCACCTGTACTTAGTTACACTATGGACAAATGGATGTGGCATAAGGAACCTCGGCAAACCCACTGTAGTTTTATAAAGGGAGCTGCATGCAAAGCAAACACTAGAGTCCTAGCTAGCCATGGCACAGCTTGCCGGTCAACCCAGCACTTAGGGAGCTAAGGTAGGAGGATTGAAAAAAATCTCAAACCGGAAAATGAGGACAAGCCCCAATTCTGCACTAAAAAGCAACAGGCTCAGAGCTGGAGAGAGGCCCATCCGGTAAAGACACCACTGCTAATGTACCCAGATCTGAGTTTAGGATCCCCGCAGCCCATAAAAAGCAGGCCCAGCAGCACGCATCTGCAACCCCAGCTCTGGGGAGGTGACAGTGTGGGGATCCCTGGAGCTTGCTGGCTAGCTGTTGTTCCAGGCAATAAGAGGGACAGAGGATGACATCCAACAGCCCCTTCCACTTCCACGTGCACAGTCACGTGTGTGCATGCACACACCCCTGAGTGTGCACAGTTAAACAGGTGCATACACACATGCGTGAGTATACAAGCACACACACACACACAGCAGCGTTAGCTCTCTGAAGCTTTTCCTTTGTTCTTTTATTTTCACTGATACATCCGTGGAGGTTACATTACCTGCCCTGCCAGTCTCTCAGAGATACTCTGAGGCCTGATTGACGGAAGCATGTGACAGTTCTTGCAATACTGAGAAGTTTGCTAACTCGGAAGCTGTTACTGTGCGCATGGCTATTGATCTTCCATCTCTCCAGAGTCACGAAGCATTCTTGGTCAGGCCCTTGACAACCATTAAGTAGGATTTTCTGGTCATGAAAGTTCATAGATCCTCCAAGATTCATTGCTAAGAATTTCAGCTGACAGCTTCTTACCTGATCAGCTCAGGGGACAACTAAGGAGCCACACTGTCACACAGCCAAGGAAAGACTCTGGAGAAGCTGGGAAGCCGGAGGGAGAGGGGACTCCGAGCATCTGCCAGAAGCTCCCGTTCCCTTCCTGACCGTGTGTGAGGGAGAGTTCGGGTTGCATCTCCAGGCTGGGGAACAGGAGGACCTGTCCCAACAGGAGGTCTTACAAAGACACAGTCAGTCCAAACAGCCAACACTGGCCCTTTGACTGTTGGCCTCGGAGCCATTGCCAGGGCTCCTGACAAGTCACTCTGGGCTCCTTGTTAGGGCTCCCGCGGCCCACAGAAGTACAGAGAAATCTCTTCGTCCCTGCTTGTTAACTAAGGAGGACAGATGGCCCTGTGATTATTTGGCCATATGTAGGTCAAGACTAAATTAATTAATAAGCAACTTAATTCCTAGCTGCCTCCATGAGCTTACGGGGGATCCCGAAACAATTGCTGTCGTAGCCTGGGAAACCGGCATGGTGGGGAGAGGAGAAGCCTCTCCCTCTAGCTCACCAAGTCCCCTGACCCAGGAAGGGACATCTTCGCCTCTCTACCCCATGTTGCCTGTTACATAACATTTGGGACACTACAGGGAGCCAACAGTTACACGTTTTAGGCGTCCACTAACTATAGCTGCAGCTGGTAGGGGAGAGTCTCTGTGTCCCTCTCTCCCCTTCCTCGGGGTGTCTTTACTGTCTTTATATTAAGCTTCCTGTAACTGGTCACTTTAGGGCTAAAAACAACAGAAGTCAAGTTCCAGAGTCATCTAAAAACCAACAAACAAAAAAACAAACGCCAGCAAACAAAACAAAGACTACCAAAAGGCAGCACCAAGAGAGGTGAGACAAATCCTACCAAGGGTCAGGGAAACAGGAAACTGTCACGGCTGGGACTGCTGAAGACAGAAAGGAGCCAGGACTGCAAGGTCCTTTCAGAACAGGGGCCAGAATTAACTCTAGTTTTGTTTGGATTTTAGGCAGGTCCTGGGAGATAGCGAGGCTGGCTCACGACTTTGAAGGCGGAAGGCAGAAGGTTGTGCCAGACACACGAGGGGCAGGAGTGGAACTCCTGCTATCACCGCTACCGCCCCCCCCCCCCACTTGATTCTGGCCTGTCCACACCTGCTCTTTTGTCACTCCCTGCTGCTTAAAATACTTCACACATTCGCCGCCAACAGCTTAAGAATTTCTACAAACGATGGCGGTGTGTGTGGCAGATGGATTTCAGGTGTCCGCCTCCTTCCTGTCTTTCCCGCATGCTTCCTGGAAAGAGCCCTGCCCAGAGACAGCATTTCAGGCCCTTATTGCAGTTAAAGGGTCAACTACGAGAGATGCCAAGTTTCGCCTGGAGCATAGCTTCCCTGATACTTCTTCCTCAAAATACCCTTGTTGTGACTCCCTGAGCTCGGACTGTGTCGGCTCAGTATGAGTTAAGTCATTAATAGTTCAAACACAGCCACGATGGAAAAACAAAAATTTCAGGAACAGTCGTTAAAACTGTTGTTTCTGGGAAACTGATACTTGAGAGTGAAGATTTGTCGCTGCCACAGAGCACAGCAAGGCTGCGTCTTCTGTGCTCTGGAAACTCTGAGAAGACGAGAAAACTGTACCTATTGAACCAGGTGTGGGGATGCAAGCCTGGAAGCCCAGTACTAGGAGAGTAGAGGCAGGAGGGCCAGAAGTTCAGGGTCAGCTCAGCTACTCAGCGAGTTCAAGGCCAACCTGGGCTGTGCGCCACCCTACCTCAAAAAAAAAAAAAAAAAAAAAAAAGAAAGAAAGAAAGAAAGAAAAGAAAAGACAATTTTTACTTTTTACTATCAGCCAACAGCTTAGAACATATGCAAGTTCACCCAGGCTTCCTTACAGTCTATACTGTAACTGAATCTTCACAAAAGTGACACTTACTAAAAAGTACAATGAGAACAAAGCCAGCTGGGATGGTCATGACTGGGTGGTTCCTGCTTAGTCAGGGTATCTGCTAAAATTGGTTTCAACCTACGTAGAGGAAAAGGCAGGTGCATGCTGACCTGTAGTAAAACCAATTTACAGAGGATAAAAGATAACAACGCACGTGCTGGGAATCAGTTATTGTTAAAGTTGTTATAAAAGTTGCAAAAGTTATAGAAGTTATAGAAGAATTCCTAGGGCAAATTCTCAAGAGTGAACAAAATATGGAGCCAGGCGGTGGTGGCACACACCTTTAATCCCAGCACTGGGAGGCAGAAACAGGCCGATCCTCTATGAGTTCAAGACCAGCCTGGTCTGCAAAGCTAGTTCCAGGACAGGCTTCAGAGCTACGGAGAAACCCTGTCTCAACGCCCCCCCCCCCCAAGTATATATGTGGTTTCTGAAGAGCTGAAGTCCAAGCCTGAAAGTATGCCATAGAGAGGGGCCTCAGCTGGTGGGCAAGGCCTTGGCAGGCAGTCTCTCGGCATCTGAAGGCTCATTACAGCTCCCAGGCATGGAGAGGGTCAGCGGTTCAGACCCACGGAAACTGCCCTGTGGTCAGCTGCTCTGTTCAGTCCAGTAACGGTAGCTGAGCCTCGTGCTTCTGACAGGCAAGTGACCCTGGTGCAAACAAGGCAGGGAAAACAGCCCTAACTTATCTGCAGGCCAGTGCAATGAAGTGGAGCTTTAAGTGGATTGATTTCACAGAACATTTAAAGCAGTGGTTCTCAACCTGGGGGTCATGACCCTTGGATCGCACAGCAGATATCCTGTATTATCAGTTATCGTATTACAGTTCATAACAGTAGCAAAATTATAGCTATGAAGTAGCAATGCAATAACTTTATGGGTGGGGGCGTCACCACAACATGAGGAACTGTATTAAATGATCACAGCAATAGGAAGGTTGAGATTAAAGGGGACCTCCGAAACTTCCCAGAGGACGTGAGCCATGCGCAGGGAGTGTCCAGTCTTGGCAGGTGTTTACATGGGGCTCCCCATCTGCGTCCAGTGCTCTGCTTGGGTTCTGACCCCCCACCCCGCCCCCAAGATAAACAGGACTTTGTGGATGGAGGACAGGAACTTAGCACAAGGAGCCTGGACTCCACAGACAAGCCAAGCAGTTCCCAGCAGCTGTTAACTTCCCACCATACAATCTCAGGAGTTTGATAAGTCATGTGCACTGTTCTCTCAAAGAACCTTCAGGCCTGTGGGCTTCCAGGGCCTTCTAAGCCCACACCTTAGATTATACTGCAAACCAATCTGGACATTAGACATCAGAGTACTGAGACAGCTATGTTATAATAAAAACCAAACACCTTAAAAACTGTGGGAGTGGTGGTGTACACTTGAGTATGTGGTGTGTGTGTGTGTGTGTGTGTGTGTGTGTGTGTGTGTGTGTGAGAGAGAGAGAGAGAGGGGGGGGGTATGTCAAGGCAGAAATTGGTTAAATTCAAGTGCAGTTTATACTATGTAGTGAGGCCCTGTCTCAAACCAACAAAACACCCACCCTGAAAACTGAGTTTGTAAACTCAGAACCACCTGGAAAATAAGAAAGCAATGGCACATTCTGGCTTAGATTTCAGTGCAGTAATATGGGCTGTTAGCATTCTATTAGGAAGTCTTTCTTCACTGGACAAGAGAAAAGACAGAATCACTGGAAGCAAGCCGGGGATGTATCTAGAGGTGGAGTATTTGCCCAGAAAGAGTGGCCCTGGCTCAATCCTTGGCACCATATTGTTAAAATTTATTAAAAAGTCAAACTGGCAAGCAGTAGAACACTATAGAAGATTCCTTTAAAGCAGAATCTTATTTTTTTTTTCTTTCCTATTTTTGGTTTTTCAAGACAGGGTTTCTCTATAGCTTTGGAGCCTGTCCGGGAACTAGCTTTTGTAGACCAGGCTGGCCTTGAACTCATTGAGGACCACCCGTTTGTGCCTCCTGAGTACTGGGATTAAAGGCGTGCACCACCACTACCAAGCCAGAATCTTATTCTTATTACTGTGCATGTGTGCAGGTAACCAGAGAAGACAGAAGAAGGTGCTGAATACCCCAGGGCTGGAGGTTCCAGCACTCATGAGAAGCCTGATGTGGGCTCTGTTCACCTGTAAGGCTAGCTCCTACTCCACCACTGCAGCCTGAGACGGCTCTTCTTCTTCACCTCGGAACACAAGTTCTTCATACCTTAAGACCAGAAAAATAGTACTTCTGAGTACTCTGGGATCCTCAGTCACCAATAACAATGGAATAAAAACGGTCATTTTTGGTTCGTATTTTACCTTCTCCACTTCTTGGAAAAATCAGGATTCTATTCTTTTCTAACCATTATATTCCCCGAGAGGACTTATCCAAATAACAGACAAGTCTCTGCCACAAAACACTAAACACAAAAAAAATAAAATAAAATCTTACCCATGAGCACCCAGTCTTGACTTCTGACTTGCAGCTGCGACACATGCTGCTGTTAGGCTCCCGCTGATGAAGGGACAAGGGACATCAGGCTTCAGCCTATAGCCTGTGCTTCAGAGCCCCAGCCCCAGGCTGGCCATTCGCCTGGCTAGGTTCCTCACGTTCCAGGCAGGACCTACTTACCAATGATTTAATTACATAGTTTATGCTGGCCAGATATTTAAATGCATTGATCCGATAATCTTCTCCCTCTGTTTCCATTCCAAGAGAGTTAATCATAAACTCTCAAGTGGAAGGACACAATACCAAAGCAAAAATTTTATCTGTTTTCTCTATCAATAACGAAATAGCTCAGAATAATTTACTAATAACAGGGAAATATGTATTAATATTAGGAATTCAAGTCATGGATAATTCTGTATCACCACAAGATGGAGTAAGAGTTCAACACATACACACCCACACACCCACACACCACACTCCCGTATTATCGTGTAAGTCACAGCGCTGACTTACTCTACTCTGCCATCTAGTGGTTATACGATCAGGCATTATTCTACTGGATCTGTCTCCCAAACAAGAATAGACACAGGAATTGGTTGAGAGAAAAGACTGAGCACATAGAAGAACGTGGTAACATCACAGCACAACAGCAAGATGCTAAGAAAAGGCCAGGCTGGAGTTTCAGCTGTCAAAACAAGCTCAGAAAAATCAAAATAGAATCTACCAGACGAGATCTCAGTACTTTGAGGAGGAAGGTCAGGATTTCAAGGTCATCCGTAGCTACACACCTTGCTGGGGTGGCAGGCACGGGCCTCTTGCACGTCCCAGGGAAGGAAAAGGACAGGATCTCAAGCGACTTGAACTGTGGATCTGATCACTTAGATTTATAGCCAGTTTATAGGATTTTCTTTTCATCGAGCGCCACTGCCTTTAAATTAAGGGTACATAATTTTAACTTTTGTCAAAAACTGCACTCCTTGGTAAGTAAGATGTCAGATAAATTAATCAAGGAAGACAATCATTCCCTTAAGAAACAAGAAAAGGACGTGATCAAGCAACCACGTAATAACAGAATCCATAGGCAACGCAACTTCTCATTCAGACTGCAAGGTGTCCGCTGACCTCCGCATGCTACCGTGGCATGTTCCCCCCAAATCATAAAGTGTCTTAATCAACAATCCATCTTTTCCTTAGTTTAATGAGGGGGAAATGTGTTGGTGATGCTTACAAACACAGAAGGAGTAACACCAATTTTGGTTTTTGCTTTTTTAAAAAGGTGTTTTATTTTCTTTGAGTGTTTCTGAATTTCTCAAAGTACATGTATACACAAAATAATATCATAAAATACGCATTACAAACTGACCACACTTTTACAGACAATACATCATTTCCTGAACAAAGTGACTGGCTCAGAACCGCCCCCTGCAGAACAGACCGGCACCCTCTTAAGTCTACGCAAGCCCAGCTTGGTTTATGCCCTCCCTACAGCACAGGTGAGTAAAAAAACTCTGAGTGCTCACAGTTGCTTTCTAAGGTTGAAACTTGAAAACTGCCTTTGCAGTCAACACAAATCCGTGTTATTATTTATGCACGACAACCTAATGACATTTATGAATCAACACTCCTGTCCTTCCTTCTTTTTTCATTTCTCTCCCAGCATTCTCTTTCTTCCTTGTTTTCTGTCAGGGGTGCAGTCCAGGCCTCACAGAGCTAGCAAGCATCTGATCCCAGCTGCAGCACCACCTCTGCCTTCCCTAGATTTCTTCCCCCCAGTGGTGAGGATTGAACTCACGGCCATGGAAATGCTTGGGAAGAGCCACTAAGTCACGGCCCCAGAAATATGTTAATATGTAACTTATGAGACCAAGATAAGATAGCCAGTCTGCTGAGAAAGAAAATAATAAAGGCAGTGCACTGAACTCAGCTGTTTCTGCCAGTGCGAATCAGTCCTTGCGAATCATACTGTGTTCAGCAGAGACAAACCTGAGACTTCGCAGCTGAACGTGCTAAAACATGATGACAATTGATGCTAGTAGAACTTGAACACTACAGCTTTGTAAATATAGCATAAATGAAATTTAAAAGGCAATTCAAATATTTCAAAATAATTTATTTTTTTAAATTCCACAAAATAAAACTATTATTTACATCGGTTGCAATAGCACTAAGAATTAGAAATAAATTTGTTTCGATTCTTGAAGACAATTATGAACATAAGACAAAATTTAAAAAAAAAAAAAAACAAAAAGAAAAAACTAAATGCTTCTCTTACGTGAATGGCCATGTGACTGCTGACATGCCCACTGGCAGATATAAACAGCAGACACCTTCAAAACAAATTACTTTATTTACACAAGCATTCCAACAGAGCCCAGTTGTTTTCAGTTACATGTGCAAGATTTTGTAGAATCACAAAAGTCAAACTGTCTGAATCTACATACCCAACTTATGCCAATTCAGAAAGCTCCACGTCAACACAGTACTGCGAAATCAGCCACATCCCAAAGCCCACAGGCCTCGCGGCAATTACAGTCAGCTGTGCGTTGTTTTGTTAAAAAAAGAAAACAAAAAAACCCTTCAAACCGTGTATATACAGAAAAATATGTATCTTTCATATCCATTTCTGAACTTAAAACCTATATACAAAATTCTTCCTTGCTTTTGATACGCTCAGCTCTGGACTGACAGTGACGATTTGACCCTAGCGTTCCATAGAAGAGACAACTATCTTCGGTAAGGAGGAGCTGGACCTAGTCACGCACTAGTCAGCTGGTCCTAGTGCGTGCCTGAAACGTACTAAAGGGATTTTGTAAACAATGGCCTTCGAGAAGACAGGAGGCCAAGGTGCAGGACTACGGGATCTCCTAAGGTCAATCAGACCTTGTTTGTGGAATTCATCTTGCCAGAAAAACAGACAACCATTTTTCTTCCTCTTTGTTTTCTGATTATCACAATTAACTATCAGGAGATGCTAATGGTGATTTCAAGGACACGCGGCTTCTGTGTGAGGTCTACTTCCCCCGCGGAGGCCGAGGTCGTGCAGTCGCGGCGAGTTGTCCCTGGGAGCCAGCGCTTTCCTCCGGCGCAGACGCAGGCTGAGCAGCAGGTGGTGGCGGTGTGGCGGAGAGCGACGGAAGTCTGTGCCGAGTACTCTCCTCCCCAGGAGTAGATGAATGTCTTTTTCTTCCAAATTCCTCACTAATGGGGGGCTGCAAAGCAGGAAAGACAACAGAGTAGACACTTTCACTGCCCCCC